CTCATCAGCAAAGAACCACGTGTGGGGAAAAAAGGACTAAATCGATAAATAAACTATTTATTCTGAGTCACTCACCCAGCTCTGCCTGCGGGGCTTGACTCTGATCTCATTTACACAAACACCACTGGCTTCAGTTAAGTCACTCCTGATTTACATGAGTGGAAGATCAGAATCAAATCAGACACCATGGCATTTAAAACAACCTTGAAACCATATATAAGATGCAGAAAGGCAGAAGACATTTCTTTGCAAAACAACATCCTTACCTCCCATGAGGAAGAGAAGCCCTGCTACATACTGCATAAGGCCTCGATCCCAGCAGCACCCCAGCACCCCGATAATCCATCCAAAGAGGATGATGGCCACAGCCATGCCCATAAAGCCAGCCGTCATCCTACGCAGGTCTGCAAAGTGAAAGAGAGAACAACAGGATGCTTGTGAAATTTGATAAGTTATTCTGATCAGATCTTCATAAGAACTCTAGCCCAAACATCTACCTGCTTTTGCACAGCGTTGTCAGTGGTTGGCACAGGAAGATTTGTGTCATGATGATGCAGAGGAAGGACAGTCCAGTGGTGAGGGAGCTAGCTTGGGACTTGGGAGACCGGGGTTCCTTTTCCTGCTTTGCTAACGATTTCCTGTGTGACCTTGATCAAATCACTTAAGGTATGTCTACACTACACACCACTGGCGGCAATGTGTAGGGTATATATAGCTACGTGCCACAGTGAAAAGCAGGCTAAGTCCACACTGTGGTTTGTAGCTACACACGTCAGGGGGAGGGCAGTGGGGAAAGGCTCCAGCAGTGGGGAACTACTTTCCCTGTGATGGGGAAAGGCTCCGGGAGTAGGACTCTACGCTGCTAAACATAGCAGTGTAGATCTGGAAGGCACTGCTCAGGCATGTAGACAGCCATGCAGGGTACATATCCACAGGGTTCAGATGTATCTTACCTTGCCTAAGCAATGCCTCACCATCTACACTGCTATTTATACCCATGCAAGAGGGCCTGCAGAGTATGTACTCTACATGCCACTGTAAGCCATGTGCAGTGTAGACATACCCGTAGTCTCCCCCTGGGCCTCAGTTTCCCATCTGTAAAGAGGGGATAATAACCCTGCCCTACCTCACATGGATGCAGCGAGGATAAATATATTAAAGACTGTGAGGTATTCAGCTACCATGGTGATGAGGGCCATATAAGTACCTTATACACAAAGGATGGTGGAATGGAGCAGACACTTTTTCCCCTCCTTTGGCTTTGGATGGTGAATATTTCAAATGCCTTTTTGGTGGGGAGGTGTTTTGGTGCTACAGTCAGGAGTGAAGAGCAGTGGCAGAGCTAAGGGAGGGCAGGTGCCTGGGAATAAAGCATCTGGACACACTACAGATTAGGAATGAGGCACATCAGCACAACTGTGTGTGTTACATGCACACCTGCACAGAACCTGTCTGCACTATGGCTTGCTTTAGGAAACAACACAACAGTTATGAGCATTTCATAGAAGCAAAATATAGTGGAAGAAAAAACATTCAAATTAAAATTTTCCCATGTCCTACAGCAGGATTCATCAAAAAGGGAGGGATGGCTGCACTACCATCTCCTGCCTGCACACAGGAGAAAAATCAAACATTTTCACAGCTATTTCCAGTGTGAAATGTGGAGCTGTAGCGTCTACATGGCTACTGAAACTGCAAGGATTGCTAGAGTCAATGAGCTTCTTGACACCCTCAGATCAGATATCCAGAGTGGGGGCACTTTCATTAAAATGAACACTTGACTATTTTCAGCTACACACACACACACACATATGCATACACGGCCATACTCACCACACAGAGGAAAAATTCCACCCAAGTCAGCACCACAAACACATTCCCTCCCACTTGAAACACATTTTACTTGCAGAGGATTTTTCTTCTTCTTTCAAACAACAGAATGCACGTGGGAGGAAGGGATGCAAAAGGGGGATTTGAAAACAATGAATCAGCCACTGGGTCTAGGACATCTTTTCTCCTTGGCTGGGGCAAGGGAAAAGCTGGCCCAGCAATAGTGGTGACTAACTCCCACAGACCAGCTCCAATTCTCTATTTTTCTTTGCCACAATGGATCACAAGGACAACTAATGCCATCGGCCTAGGCTTCTCGCCCATCCTGGGGTCTGGCTGGACAGTTTAGATTTTCACCTGGCTGACTGTCCCAAAATATTTGTGCAAGTTCAGCTTGTAGAACACAAACTCTCCTGTGCATGTAATGATGACATCATCAATGATGTTGTCACCATCTCATGTCTCCTTGTCACTTTTGTTGTGGTTGTTGTGTAAGTGGGACAGTTTTACAGAGACCCTGACCCTTACTCCTAGGACAGGGGGATTGCTACTGAGCTCAAGATTGCCAGGTTCTCTTACAAAAGACAAGTCTCAGACTCCCACTTTCTGTCTTACTCAGAGAAGCTTTTCATGGTTGCCCTGATGACCAATAAGCAAAAGTGAAAAGAGAGTCCAAAGTATTTGAATATATTTAGGAGGTCCGTGGTGCTGAAAAAACAGGTACGTCCTACAGAACCAAAGCACCTGTACTGGTATCTGCTCCTCTGGGGGTTGTCAGAGGGATTGTTTTTTAACTCAAGAAGAAACTGAGTAGCCATCTTCAGTGGCAGAGTAGGTTCATATACTGGCTTTTAACCCATGGGTTCAAATCCTAATACAGGTGTCAAAGGAAAGGGTTTGCTGATCTGTTCCTTGTCTTTAATGCCTCAGACCATGTAACACAAAACCACTGCATAATTGTCTGTGTTGTTCACAAGAGACCCTTGACTTTAACTCAAGTTAAGAACAAACCGTTTTTCCTTGTGAAGACAGAGTCCAACACCCCTAAGTGTTCGGCCTAAATAGCCTCAGCTGTATTTATTCTGCTCCATGAGAGGAATGCCTCCCTAAACTGCATCTACATTCTAGCTGGCGGTTAACCCTCAAAAACCCAGCCCATTGACTGTCTTGACAGAGCCACTTCTCAGAGTATATCTACACACAGGTTTCAGAGTAGCAGCCGTGTTAGTCTGTATCCGCAAAAAGAACAAGAGTACTTGTGGCACTTTAGAGACTAACAAATTTATTAGAGCATAAGCTTTCGTGGGCTACAGCCCACCTCTTCAGATGCATATGAAGAAGTGGGCTGTAGCCCATGAAAGCTTATGCTCTAATAAATTTGTTAGTCTCTAAAGTGCCACA